TCTTAAAACAACACAATATTTTTGCTCATCTAGAAAATGCTTCTTGATATAAAAGTGTTTGGATATTTGCACAAGAAACAAGACCAAAAATCTAAGTCAGAAAAGCATTTTAGCAGTGCATTCGATGATATTACTGAATATTAGTGTCTTTAAAGCCTTTAAAATTGTACATAAACGTATCAGAAAACTCCTGCAGTCCTTCATAGCAGGATAAACTTACAATGTTGTTGTTGTTTTTAAAAAATCCTGTATTTTTGTACAAATTGAATTGTATAAATCGGCACAAACTAGACACTTTTCCACCAATATATAAAATATTTTAGTTTTCTCCTGAGATCAGGCTGGATTATTTTCATGTAAAATTATAATAAATCAGCTCTACAACAGATAACAGAGTCATTTTTTCATATAAATGCTTTTCTTATTCACATTCTATGCCCTGTGTCTAGCCCAAACACTCGAAAACTTCTTTAATCAAGAAGCATTTTCTAGACAAGCAAAACTACTGTCTTGTTTTATGAAATAATCTGCTAAAATTAAGTGAGTTTCCTTAAAACTAAAAAATCTGTCAATGGGGTCAGCAACATATTCTTATGTCAAAAGGAAAAGTAAGAATATTTTGCTTGTTTTAAGGTAAAATTGTAGCATATTAATGTTTATAATCCTTGTTTTAGGGATTTATTTTGGTGTATTATTTCTTAAAACAACACAATGTTTTTGCTCATCTAGAAAATGCTTCTTGATTTAAAAGTGTTTAGATATTTGCACAAGAAACAAGACCAAAAATCTAAGTTAGAAAAGCATTTTAGCAGTGCATTCGATGATATTACTGAATATTAGTGTCTTTAAAGCCTTTTAAATTGTACATAAACGTATCAGAAAACTCCTGCAGTCCTTCATAGCGCGCGCACACGCACACACACACACACACACACACACACACACACACACACACACACACACACACACACACACACACGCGCGTTTATATAGTAAGTGGTTGCAAGCAAATGATATGAGCTGAATTTAAACAAATTTAATTCAACGTATAAATTCAGCCCATATAAATTGTTTGCAACCACTTACCTTAAAAACAGTCAGTAAATCCAACGAATCATTGCTGTTCAGTGCAGCACAAGCTCACCATCTTGTTGTTGATCTCGTGAAAGTGGATCTCGCAGACCTTTTCCACCACGTCTTCATTCTCAAAGGTCACAAAGCCAAAACCTGCAGAGCGAGTACACACACACATACACACACACACTTCATGAGTCAAACTGCTCTCAAACATGTGTTTTAGTTAAACACACAGCACGTTTATTTCATCCAGTCCACTCCTGGCATCGCCTTTCAGCTTTCCTCTTATTCTGGGTCATTTCCTTTGTTGTTTACATCTGTTCATTTACTGAGTCTATTCTTTTTCTGCTCACCTGCTGCAGTTACCTGTGCTGCTCAGCCCCGCCCACTCAATAGTCACTCACACTAAAAACTCCGCCCACCTGCTGTCTCTCAGACATAATTAGCTCAGGTGGAGGAAGGATTAACCCCTGAACTACTAACCAGCTCAGCTAAATCAAACCCCGGTTAGCCTACATGCAGTTGGAGTCACAATTATTGGACCTTTCTTTTTCATATATTTCCCAAATGATGTATAAGAGGGCCAGGAATTTTTTACAGCATTTCCTATATTTTTTTCTTCTGGAGAAAGTCTTATTTGATTTATTTCAGCTAACATAAAATAATTTTTTATTTTTTAAACACCATTTTAAAGTTAATTATATTAGCCCCCTTAAGCAATATTTGTTTTGGATAGTCTACAGAACAAACCATTATTATACAATGACTTGCCTAATTAACCTAACTTTACCCTAATTAACCTTGTTAAGCCTTTAAATGTCACTTTAAGCTGTATAGAAGTGTCTTGAAAAATATCTAGTCAAATATTATGTGCTGTCAGATAAAATAAATCGGTTATTAGAAATGAGTTATTAAAGCTATTATGTTTAAAAATGTGATGAAAAGGTTGGTATTATTGTGTGAATGGGGCTTTTAACTTTGTTGGAAGCATCTGAGACAAAGTTGCTTCTTGAAAAATAAAATTTAACTCTTTTATTAAATGCAAACATGAGAAATTACATGTATGATGTAATATATATATATATATATATATATATATATATATATATATATATATATATATATATATATATCATACTTATTAATAATAATAATAATCATCATCATAATCATCATTAATATTATTAAAGTAGGATTTTTAAAATTCTTAATAAATAATAAATATTTAATTTCATTTTATAATAAATCGCCTCATTATTTATTTATTTATATGATTTATATAGGAGAGTAGTATAGTGTTAGCTTTTGTAAGTAATTTTAGGTTTTGGAAGAGAATATGTAATGTTCTCAATAATATTTGTAAAGGAAACACAGGCCCTATATATGCCATTTACACATATTTAAATTAATATGGAAAGCAGGAGCATGTTTTAGCAAAAAATTCTAGAACTGATCGATCTTGCAGATTAGCACTCTATAACATCAGAAAGGTCCGACCCCTCCTATATGAACATCCAGCTCAACTCCTTGTTCAGGCTCTTGTTCTCTCCAGACTGGACTATTGCAACTCTCTACTAGCCGGGCTTCCAGCTAACTCTATTAAACCTCTTCAGCTGCTTCAGAACGCAGCAGCACGAGTGGTCTTTAATGAACCTAGAAGAGCACATGTCACTCCGCTGCTCATCCGTTTGCACTGGCTGCCAGTTGCTGCTCGCATCAAATTCAAAGCTCTGATGTTTGCTTACAAAGCGACTTCTGGCTTTGCTCCTTCTTATCTGCTCTCACTTCTGCAGATTTATGTGCCCTCCACAAACTTGCGTTCTGTGAATGAACGTCGCCTCGTGGTTCCATCCCAAAGAGGGAAGAAATCACTTTCCCGAACTCTTGCATTCAATCTGCCCAGTTGGTGGAATGAACTCCCTAACTGCATCAGAACAGCAGAGTCACTCGCTGTTTTCAAGAAACGACTAAAAACTCAACTATTTAGTCTCCACTTTCCTTCCTAATCTGCAATTGCCTCTCTGGTTCTACCGCTAACTGTATTACAAAAAAAATTAAGAAATTACTAATGTTTTGCTTCTTAGACTTTACACACCTGAAACTTGCCTACAGCACTTATTCATTGTTGCTCTTATAGTTGTGTAAATTGCTTCCTTGTCCTCATTTGTAAGTCGCTTTGGATAAAAGCGTCTGCTAAATGACTAAATGTAAATGTAAAACTAATATTGGCTTTTATTTCAAATGTGTGTGTGTCTGTGTGTGTGTAAAACAATATCATTTGCACAAAGAAATGACGGGGTTCTTCTTTAAACAGGTAGTTACTCCACCACGTTTAGAGCATGATTATGGGCGTTTTACATTATAACTAACGTGGTTCAAGCGATGGATCTGCGACAGGGAAACTACGGGTTTTGGGAAACACTCGTCACTACATTATTTTTTCCAATGACAGTTCAGTCGCAAGTTACGTCATTGTTTGGGAAATGCAAACCTGAATATTGCGATAAAAAAGCTGATGTTGCTTTATCATTACTTTAAAATAAGAGTATTTGTAATAATATTTGAACTTCTGAGATGATTCTGAGATGAGTTATGAATGTGATTAATTGTTAAGCATAAAAATATGTTCACAAAGTGAAGAGACACGATAATATTTTAATACAGGTTTTAGGAAAAAAACAAATAGGACAAAGCATGTGCTGAAACACAAATATATAAATGTGCACTATAGTATCTCCTGAGTTATGAATGAGGGCAAATATTCCTCAAGCACCAGATGAAACTCCTGAATGAGTGCAGAAACATGTACACACTTGACTGTTGTTGTGTAATTATATGACCCCACGGGGCTTTGTGCATTTGCGTGCCTGTGTGTGTGTGTGTGTGTGTGTGTGTGTGTGTGTAAGTGTGAGAGAGAAAGTTTTGAGTTTATTGTCACATCAACAACATAACTGGTTCACATTTTAATTGGCAGATAACATATATAGCTATAAATGTAATATCGTGTATAGTATAGTAATATACTGGTGCATATATTTTGTAGTCTCAGTGGAAATGAAGCTCTTTCAGATTCAGACATCAGCTCATGCCATGGCATAGATAAAACCTAACAATCGTTTTAGAATAATACATGCGATCTGATAAAAATCTAAAGCAGTTTTCAGAAGTTTTACAATGTTAAATAATCTGGTGGCTGGGATTTACATGTTTCTGTAGTGTCATGTTTGGTGTAGACAGCCAAACTGTGTGTGTGCGCGTGTGTGTGTGTGTGTGTGTGTGGTTAAGCAGCCTTACCTCTGTGCCTGTTGGTGGTTTTGTCAAACATTAGCATGGCATCATCAACCTGCAGACAAAAACACACACAAACACACACACACACACACACACACACAAAAGAGAGGGATGAGACACGGTAAGCCATTACCCAGCATGAGGCTCTATTGTGAAGCTGTGGAGAAACAGAAAGGGGCAGCAGATGGAGAGATGAGCGGGAGGGGGCAAGGCGGGCAGAGGCGAACAGAGGAAGAAAGAAAGAAAAAGAAAAAGAGAGAAAGAGGAGAGAGAAGAAAGAAATAAACTCCTGAAAATTCTAAATCAGGATTTAATTTATCAGTTGCCCAAAATAACTGTATCAAATATCAGACAAACTTAATCTGTTTTAATAATTCATAATATGTTTTCTATTGTTATTGTAGCGGTCATCATCCCCTTTGTGACCATTTCAGTATATATTGAACCTGTAGACAACCTCTTTTTTCCATATTGCAAACTTGGCTGACCCCAAAACAAAATTCAGAAGTCAGAAAGAAAAAAAAAGAAAGAAGGAAAGAAAGAAGAAAGAAACAATATATTTAATAATAATAGTAGTGGTAATAATAATAAAAAATAATAATAATAATAATATACAATATGCAAAAAAATATTTAATACAGTTGAAGTCAGAATTATTAGCCCCCATAGAATTTTTGTTTCTTTTTTAAATATTTCCTAAGTGAAGTTTATTCATAAACTAATTTCGAGAGGATCACGTGCTTATGATTTATCACGGCCGGTCCCGTATTTGCTAATCACTATCTTCCAATCATATGAGCCCTAAGCTACTATAAATAGCCTCAGTTTTCAGTTCACTTTATCTTCGTTTGGAAGAAACCCCCCTCCTCCCCTATTCTCCTCCTTTACCTGTGATTGGGCGGCACGGCGGCCCAGTGGTTAGCACTGTGAGCCCCACATCAAGAACACTGCCCTGGTTCCACAGGACCGGTGGGTGTTTCTGTGAGGAGTTCGTATGTCCTCCCCGTGTCCGCGTGGGTTTTCCCCGGGTTCTCCGGTTTCCTCCCACCATCCAAAGACATTCAACATGCATAACAATCAAGCTTGTCTAACCCCTTGTGTTCCCTTAGCTACCGCAGCAGGAGAGTTCTGAGATCCACCGAGCTCAGGCTCCCCTCTTGCTCTGCCAACGGGAGGAAGCCCCGGGCTCGAGGAGCCCTTGAGCTCGGGGCTCTCTCCCGGTACAGCATGCCAAACAAGCTTTTGTAATCCTCAGCTAAGTGTGAACTCTTGATATGGTGTTTAACAGAGCAAGGAAAATTTTACAGTATGTCTGATAATATTTGTTCTTCTGCAAAGATAAAATAAATCAGTTATTAGAGATGAGTTATTAAAACTATTATGATTAGAAATGTGTTGAAGTTATGTCTGGTTCTCGAATCTGATTGGCTGATAGCCGTGCGATATTCTGCAATAACAAAGTAACAGCACATGAGAATGTAGCTGCTTAGATTTCAACTATACAGTTTATTTCTAGGGATAGTGCCTATTTTAAATATTTATCATTTCGGAGATTCAGCGCGTCGGCGGCCATTAGCCTGTCATACTGAGCAGAAGAGCAAAGACGGTTGACGTTCCGCCACAAGATGGCGACAGAGACCACATAATAAGTCCTTAGAGGTGAAAAAATCAGCATAAAACTACAGCTGATCAGTTCACTGTAAAAAAGTTGAGTGACTTTCTAAGTCGATCTCTCTTTTTTGAATGTTGTAGTGCTGTATTTATACATAGTTATCTGCTAGCGTTTGCTTTGGCTTTTTCAGGGATAATTATTGTGATCTCCCGATTGCAACAGAGAAATACTGGGAAATCTCTGTAGATTGATGGCATTTCATGCTGTTCAGCCTTATAATCTTAAAATGTGAGCGAAAACACCTGTTTTGTCTTCACTTTAGACATTACGCTAGAGAATCATTCAAACACTAGCTCTAAATGTTGGTGAAACTAACAAGGGTTTCTGCTGTTCTGATGTCAGCAGAAACTGACTATATATATAGTCAGATATGGATGGATGGATGGATGGATGGATGGAAGGATGGACGGACGGACGGACGGACGGACAGACAGATAGATAGATAGATAGATAGATAGACAGAGAGATTTTTATTTTATTTATTACATAATATTGGCACAAGAAGAAATGTAAGATAAAAAAACATTACACTATAACAAATTACTTTAAAGAACAAATATTTAATTTGAACCAAACTAGCCTTACAGTCATTTCAAACAGCTTAAGTAACATTAAAATATAAGTCAGAAACATAAACTTTTAATTGGCATTAAAACAAATGTTGTCATGACTTATTGATCGTGTAATTCTTTCACGGTGTACGTTTTCATAATACGTCGATATGAATATCATGTCACGCATAAGTTTAGTAAAAATTAATATTGCTACATGACTTTTTTGTACCCTAAAATTCCCTAACTGCTATTTAAACTCCAGTAAAATTATTAATATTATTACAGATTGCATAAGAACCAGAGCAACCTAATTAAGCACTACAAAACAAACAAAGACACATTTATAGTCATCGTCTGACTGTTATCTTAAAGACTAACTCTGAACAGTGTTTAAAGAAGTAACCAAACACACACAGCTCTCCCCCCCCCCTCTCTCTCTCTCTCTCTCTCCCTCTCTCTCCCTTATTAAACAGTTTACAGGAAGATCTGCATGGTCCTTGTTTGTAGGGTAAATCTTTTCAACAACTCTCTCTCTCTCTCTCCCTCTGCTGTTCCCCCTTTCTCTGCAAAGTTTACTGTCCCCATGGAGACCCTGCGAAGAATTTCAATTAGAAAAAGTGACCCCCCTCCTTCACCTCCGCTTTCATCAACACACAACAGAAAGAAAGAGAAAAAGTGGGATATAACGGCAACAGAACTGGAGAAATACACTCTGATGAGAGAAATACACTGATATGATGTCTTCAGCGACAAAGCACAGATATCAGGAAGAAAAAAAGTAGAAAAGAACAAAAGTTTAAAAGCTTTCAATTCAAACGGTCATAACTTTTTATAGAGTTGAAGGCAAAATTATAAGCCCTCCTGTGAAATTTAAAATAGCCTTCAAATATTTTCAGTGTTATGCAGTATTGGGTTGTGGCTGGAAGGGCAACCGCTAGAATAGTTGGCGGTTCATTCTGCTGTGGCGACCACTGATGAATAAAGGAACTAAGCCAAAAATAAAAGGAATGAATGAATATATTTAAAGTGCTGTTAAGCTTGAAACATTTGTTTAATCTAGAAAATTACTAATAAATTTATTATTATATATTAGTATATTAAATGTTGTTTGTGTTATTAAACCTGTAAAGTAAAAAAATACAAATTGCAGGTTATGATGATATAATATTAAGATTACAAAGAGTCTAACATGAAAAAAATCTTCTGTAATTACCAAAAGAAAATGTGTTATTGCCATATGTCTAATATTCCCAACTCACACTCAAAATTGATATCTACCCCTGAATACATTTCTGGAGAGCGCCAAATATGTCTCAGGAGGTAGGTTTTGCAGTTTTTGTTTTTGTGAATCCACCATTAACCGATGTGTACGCTTTTTGAGATCTCAAATTGCCATTTGCGCCTGCTATTCTTACGTATAGCCACCAGAGACTGCTGCGGACTGACAGACCGACTAATACCCCCACCCTCCCCCCTCCCTAAACCCAACCGACAGTGTTTATAAAAGCATCAATAGACCCGCCCACCCCCTTTCCTAAACCCAACTATTACCGTTTTCAAAAGCACTGACTGACCGTGTGAATTGACCAGACACTGCTGCTGACTGACTGACTGACTGACTAACCGATCAATACACCCACCCACCCCCTTCCCTAAACAAACCGACAGTGTTTTCAAAAGCACCAATTGACTCAATCACCCCCTTCCCTGAACCCAACTGACAGTGTTTTAAAAAGCATCAATTGACCCGCTCACCCCCTTTCCTAAGCCCAACCATTAGTGTTTTCAAAAGCACAGATTGACCGCGTAAATCCACCAGAAGCCGCTGCGGACTGACTGACTGACCGACCTACAGACCAATAATCCCACCCACCACCTTCTCTAAACACAGCCGACAGTGTTTTCAAAAGCACCAGTTGACTCATTCACCTCGTCCCCTAAACCCAACAATTACTGTTTTCAAAAGCATCGATTAACCTGCCCACTCTCTTCCCTAAACCCAACCAACAGTGTTTTAAAAAGCAATCCAGAAAAAGAAAAACCCTTGTGACCACCTGATTTTTACCACGTTTTCAGATTTGATCACATTCTCACACCTGTTATTTACCTGTTTATTTTATTTTTTGCCCTTTAGTTTTTGTTTTACCTGCTTTCTGCAAACGCTGTTCGCCAGACTCAAACCGCGTCATCGTAGTCAAATGCGCGTACGTGGCAAGCCACTGAGCAAGCTGGTACCAGCGGAGGTAGCGCAAAAAGAAACAGAAGCCATTGCCAACATCATACCACCCCATAGCGTTCGTTTTGAAGACTAAATGCAGCCATTCGTAGCTCTGGCTACATCATTCGCACTCTCTAGAAATGTATACAGGGGTATGTTTTCAGAATGAAAATGTGTTGAATTTCACAGTCGTGTATGTTTAATATCATTATATACTGCACTATTGCACATAACGTCCACAATTAGCATACGCTGAACACAGAAATGTTTGTTATCGAGCAAATATATTAGTATTTATAAATAGATCTGAAAAGGGTTTGGATTTGGACATTAAAGCCACTATGAAATGGTTCACCTGCGACCACACATCAATTAAATGACATAGTCCTGCTTTAATCATCTGTTTACTGAACCATCTTTGATCATATTGTTGCTTGGCAACAGTAAAGCTAATGAGCAATATTATAACCTACGACATTATTAAAGACTTGTTTTGTGGAAAGCATCACAGTTACCATTGCATATTAAAATACTTTCAATTTAAAGTCAAATTAAGTGTATATTGCTGGGCCTCTGACTAATTCAATAACTTTTTATAATGGCCTTTA